CTGCCCCGACCTCCCTCTGGTGGCCATCATTGGCCGCTAGAGCTCTTCGGTCGGCCGTGTTGGTTGAGTTTGCTGGCTGAACCATTTTTGTTCACGCTTCTAAATCAGGATGACTTAGATCGTCCTTCCCCACAGACGGCGCCAAATGTTTATGCAAAGATCTGCACAATAATACTTTACGAACCAAGCTCGAACCCGATCCTCGGCTCGACCTGAAAATAAGAGTGGACCTGCACAATAGGGTAAACACTCTGACGCTCAAGTTAGTATAAGTCGGACTCCGTATTTAGCTCGAGGTGACATTCGATACCTGAGCGTGAAATGAGGCCCTCTATTTATAGGTGGTGGATCCGACAGTGCTCACGACCGGCGGTTACATGTTTTTTCTCATGTCGGACCTGTCGGGTTCCGAGCAGATCGAACCCGAGTCAGGTCGAACTTTGGCATGCGTACTTAGCCTTTTTCCAATGGGTGACCCCGACCTCTTCGGCTGGTTCGAGGTGGACTTGGGATTCTTTAATTCTTGGACACCAGTAAGCGTCCTCCACGTGTCCAAGATATTTTTACCCCCAAACAGCTATGATGGCTTTATTAAAGCCCTCAAGCTCCTTGAAATTGAAGCCACCACGTTCCTTTGGCAAATAAAGAGTTTCCAACGCGAAAAATGTATTTTCCTATTCGAATCACTTGATCCCCATCAAAATCGAGTAAACATTTGTGTGATTTCCTTGCAAAAAACCTAACGGGAGTTTGAAAGCACTCATGGCATATGCCGGAATCACTTGACACACAATCTTTATAAGAATTTCATTTCCCCCAACTGAGAAAAAGTACCTTTTCCACCACCCTTGTAGCACCCTCCAAATATTATCCTTGACTTTTTAAAAATCATCATTCTTCCTTCTTAAAAAGGCAGAGGGGAGGCTTAGGTAAATACCTAAGTTGTTCACTGATCGGACGTTTGGAATGGATTGCAAATAGGATCTTTTGCTATCATTTATGTTCGGAGCGAAACACATGGCTGATTTATCAAAGTTAACCACTTGACCTGATGCTTTCTCATACACATTAAGCAACTTTTTCATCATGGAACACTCAACTGCATCTGCCTTTAAAAAGATTAGGTTGGGTCTCCTTGCCTTACTAAGAACAATATTATCCTTTGTTTCTCTATTAATCTTTCAAGCAAATCGAGCAGTCGAAATGAAAGTACCTGATCCACCCAAGCTGCATCGAAGCCCATTTAGAGCATCATTTGCTCTAAAAATATTCATTCCACACGGTCATGTGCTATATGGAGTTTTAAGGCCACAATTATTTCTCTGCCTGTCTTGATGTGTTTTTGGGCATGAAGGCATTCATGCCCAACAATTATGTTGTCATTAATTGTCCTTCCCGGGATAAAAGCATATTGAGTTTTCGATATAACATCATTTAGAATTTTCGTCAAACGATTCGCCAACACTTTCGCCACAATTTTGTAGGATACATTGTAGAGACTAATAAGACGGAAATCAGATACTTGCCTCGGATTTTCAACTTTGGGAATTAGGACAATGTTTATAACATTTCAGCCTTGAATACTCTTTTTCCTGTTTAACATATCCAAGCAACTTGCTATTGTTTTTGGCCCCAAATTCTCCCAAAAAGACAGATAAAATAGAGCCGGAAAACCATCATTACCAGGTGCCAAAGCTGGAAATATTTCCTTAATCGTAGCTATAATTTCTGCTTCACGGAAAGGGAACATCAAAGCTCGGTTCATTTCAGCTGAGACCCTTCTAGGAATCACCTTCAAAACATCAGAAGGATACATAATATTTGGGTTAGAAGAGCAAAATAACTCACCAAATTAAGAAATAAAAGCATTTGCAATTTCCTCCCCATGCTCAACCCATTCACCATTTCCATCTGTGATCCCTTTTATCATATTTCACTCCCTTCTCGTGGGTGCCTTTCTTATGAAACCACTTTATGTTCTTGTCTCCTATTTTAGCCACTCCTCTCTAGAACGTTGCTTCCAGTACATTTCTTCTTTCTTTAAAAGTCTATCCAAATCCCACTCCAGAGTGTGAATTTATGAGAAACCTAGGGGCATTGACTTTCTGAACTCAATCATGATAGCCTCCTTTATCTTTTTTAATCTAATTAAAAAGCTCCATGTTAAGATTAGAGTCTCATTGTCTTAGAGCCATTTCAGAAGCTTTCAAATGATATTCAAGGGGCTTCTCCCACCGGATAGAAGCCGCCCACTTCCCATTGTCTTTCTCCTCTGATTATCAAAGCAATGGGGGTTGGTTTCCATTTGAATTGCATGACGAGCATATTTGACCCAATTTAAGTTAAAATAAGAGATTAGTGCATTGATAGGCTATTTAGAGACGATAATTACATAAAATGATTGAATATATAAAAGTTACATTAAACAAAATATTTTAGGTTAAAAAATTTTTTGGTTCTTGTATTTTTATTGAAATAACGATTTAGTCTCTAAACTTTAGTTTGTAACGATTTAGTCCTTCTGTTTTCAAATTAATAGAAACAACTTAGTCCCTATAATTTAAAATTTGTAACGATTTAATCTCTATCTTAAAAAATGTTGTTAAAATTTCATACAGCTTCTTATATGTATAGATCGATTAAGACCAAATGTGTTTATAAACTACAAATATTAAATTTTTATATAATAAGAATTCACACTTGATTTTGATGAAATTTTTTTGCCGTAGGGATTAAATTGTTACAAATTTTAAACTATAGGGACTAAATTATAACAATACAAAAATTCAAAAATTTATTGTTACCAATTTGAAAATATAGGGACTAAATCGTTACAATCTGAAGTTTGGGGCAGTTATAAATATGGCAAAAATGTAAGGAAATAACAAATTTAGCATCTACATTTTAGTTTTACAAATATAGCAAACTTTTTAGGAAAAATGGAGGTTCAATAATAAAATGTCAAATTTACCCTCGTAGCACTGATATACCACTGATATAGCACTGTATGTATATGTGATGTAACAACCGAAAATATATATATATAAATATATATATTTAGATCTTTTTAGTTTCCTTTTATTCTCCCAGAGATAAACCATTTCTGTTTTAAAAAAAATATATTTTTAAAAGATGATTTGTTTTTAGAATTAAAAAAATATAAAAAAGAAAGAGTTTTATAAATATTTATCTTTTTATGTTATCCTTTTTAAAAAAAGTTTGTTTAGGTTTGTTTTAAAAACCCTTAAACCCTAGGTTTTATTTTCTTAAACTGCTAGACCTAGTTTTGAGAAAAAGAAAAGCAAAGAAAAAAATTTTTGGTATTTTCTCTCAAAGATCGGTAAGTTTTTCTTCCTCATTATTTTAGTTTTATTTGTCTTGATCTGTAGTTCTTTAATTCAGTTTATTGGGAAAAGTTTTGAGGTTTTGTTTTTTAGAATAAAAGATTTTAAGGATTTTTTGCCCTAAAAATTTGCCAGGATTTTTGGTTTGAATTTTATTGTTTATGAGACTGTTTTTTGGGCTATTTTGAGATTCTTTTTTCATAAAAAGTTTACCTATTTGTATCTCATAAACTATAGTTTATTGTTCTGATTTTTACATGAAAAATTATATGTTTTTACCAAGTTTTAAAGGTTTTCTATACAGTTTTCAGATCTGATTTTTCTATAAAAAACAGTAAATTGTTAATTGTTTTATGGAAATTCTTGGAAGTTTTATTTTATAAAACAGAAAATTATCCAGATTTAAAATCCTCAAATTTTCAATTGTTTAGAAGGTTCTTAAGCTTGTTTTGTTGAGAAACTTTTTGTAAATTTAGTCCGTGTTGATTTATACCGATTCTTATAATTTTAAAGTTTGTTATTGTTGAATTTAGAGGCTTTTTAACCCAGTTTTCAGATGTGGTTTTGTAGCCCCAAATCCATACTTTCCTAATTGTTTTGCATAAAAAGGTGTTTTGAATGAGAAAATTGGGTAGATAAGATTTGCTTAGTAATTGGTGAATTTTGGATAGAATTTAAGGATTGATTTTGGACATTGCTTGTTTCTAGACCTCTAAGTTGACAACTACCCAAGGAAGAAGTTAAGTTAGATTTCACTGATTTACCATATCCCTTCGAAGACTAAAATTTATTTTGGATTTGATATGAAGATTTGAAATTGATGTATTACCTATGGAATTGAAGTTTTATTATGGATTTGATAAATATTTTGGTAATTGATATTATGGTTATTTGTAAAAAAAAAAAAAATTGAAGCATGTTTTGTATGAATTGATAGAGTTTTGTTTGAAATTATGTAAAAGTTTGAAATTGATATTTAGTTTATTTGTGAAATATTTGAACTTATGTTTGGTATGATTTAATAAAGTTTGTTTGAAATTATTTAAATAATTTGAACTGATTTCATATTAAAAGTTTGTATTTGTTTTGCATATTTATTTGAAAGATATTTTGATTAATTTGATAGGGTTATCCGGATATTCCATATTTTTGTTTTGAGGAACGTTTTGCTTATTTGGGATAGTAGCCTAATTTGAAATTGATGGATTTCTGTTCTGGCTTATTTGTGGGTGGGAATGCACTTTTGTGGCTTGGCATTCCTTGGGAATGAAGATTCATGTATGTCTTATTCACTCACATGGCCTCACACTTAAGTAATCGTTCTGTTTGTTCTGGTTGATATTATTCTGGCAACTCTGTTCTGATCAATATTAATTCGACAACTCTGATAGAAGCTTCTGATTGATTGGTATTACCGACGGATAACCACATATGTTCTATAGGCTACCCAGATAATGCAACATCCCACTCTAATTTTGAAAGTATGTATGAATGTAACATTGTTTGAATGTTTGAATGATTTAGTTTATTCGAAAGTTTGAAAGTTGTACCAAATGTTTGAGAAGGAATTTTGAAAGTTTTGATCGGTTGGAATTTTTGTTACAAATGTTTCGAAAGAAAAAATGAATTTCAATGTTTGATATGGAAATTGTTTATTGAGTATTTTTGTACTCATTCTTCTATTTTTTAAATGTTTTCAGATGAAGGTTCAAGTGACTGCTCAAATAGCGATTGAGGAATAGCGTCCTGGCATGAGGAGTTGGAATCTTTAGTATTTTTCCTTTTTTTTTAGCCTATGAGGGAACTTAGTTAGTTATGTTAGTTAACCTTTGGATTTATTAGAGTATAGATTTCTGTTTCAAAGTTTGACTTGTCCCCATTTTTTGTCATAGTATCAAATTAAATGAAGAAGTTTTTCCTTTGATATACTGTTTATTTGTTTACGCTTCCGCATTATTGTTAGAATGACCGTATTAGAAAATACGGATTGTTATAGTTGATATCAAAGCGATGGTTTGAGGTCCTGTAGACTCTAGTATTTTAAGTGTTTTGTTAGTGATAAAGTTCATGCCAGAACATTAGGTTTGATAGTTTCAAAATTTTGAGTTTTGAGGGTGTTTGTTTTCTATGTGCTGATTACTCACTATATCGTTACGATATAGTTATATTACTTTTTTTATATATCACTAAGGATTGGTTGACACATGCTTTGTAGAACAATGCTGCCACGAAGGACTAACAATTGTAGGACTACAACTGTTGAGGAACCGCAAGATAATATCCCAACTGTTCCACAAAACCCAAGAACTAATAGGAATGCAACAGCTAATGGAGTCAATCGTGTGGTGGAACAGTTCAGAAAGCTCCATCCACCCTTTTTTGATGGTACGCATAGATCCAATTGTTGCTGAAGAATTGATCGAGGAAATCGAGAAGGCGCCTTTTGACTTTATGGAATGCAGTGATCGTCAGAAAGTGGCCTGTGCTACATACATGTTCAAAAGATGAACAAATAAATGGTGGAATATGGCTTGCGGGACATGGAATGTCGCTGAAAATCCTATAAGCTGGGATAAGTTCAAGGAAATTTTCTTTAAGAAGTTCCTTCCCCCGACTGCTAGACAGAACAAGGAAGCGGAGTTTATCAAGTTAGAGCAAGGAAGACTGCCCCTGATAGAGTATGAAAAGAAGTTCGAGGAGCTTTCTCAGTACGCCCCTCATTTGGTGGACACTAATTGGAGCAAAGTAAGACAATTTGAAAGAGGTTTTAGACCAGAATTAAGGAAGCATGTTGCTACCTTCAGATTGATGATCTATGCCAAGGTGTTGCAAACAACTCAGATCTTGTCACAGGATTTGGACAACACGAAGTCATTTTCCAAGGATGGTGGGTCAAAAAGGAAGTTCCATGGGGGTAGAGTTCGAGTCAACCTCATAAGAGTGTAGGCTCTAGCAGTAGTGGACAACAGTTCAAGTGTAAGACATGTGGCAAGAACCATACTGGAACATGCTATAAAGCGACAGGAGTCTGCTTTTGATGTGGAAAAACAGGACACTTTATCAATAATTGTCCATTGAGCCAAAAAGCAGATGACTCGAAAGCATAAGAGAAGAAATCAAGTAAGAAGGGCAAAATCTTTGCGATCACTAAGCAAGAGGCTAATGATGAACCTAATGTTGTTTCAGGTACCATCCTCATAACTGGAATTACTGCTTTTGTATTGATTGATTCTGGTTCTACAAATTCTTTCATATCGGTATATTTGTTAGAAAGTTTAAGTTGGTACCTGTAGACTTGAGCTATATACTTAAAGTATCCACTCCTTCTAGTAACGTGCTACATACTAATAAGGTAGTTAAATCCTGTCAATTAAGTATTGTTGATCGAAACTTGATTTCTGATTTGACAATTCTTGAGATGACTGATTTTGACGCAATTTTGGGCATGGATTGGTTACCTGCAAATCATGCTAACATTCTTTGCCATGAAAAAGAGGTCTTGTTCTCCCCTCCAATCCAACCAAAGTTTCGTTTTAAGGGAGTAAAAATATATCATCTTCCAAAGATTATATCTGCACTTAAAGCATCTAAGCTAATTGACAATGGTTGTTAGAGCTATCTAGCCAGTGTAGTTAACATAGAGAAGACATGTAAGCTAATTGAAGAGTTGCCTGTAGTGCACGAGTTCACTGATGTTTTTCCAGAAGATTTTCTAAGTTTGCCCCTTGACAGAAAGATTGAATTCTCTATTGATTTGGTACCGGAAACTGCACCATTGTTCAAAGCACCCTATAGAATGGCCCCAGCCGAACTTCGAGAACTCAAGGAACAAATCCAAGAGTTGTTAGACAAAGGTTTTATTCGTCCAAGTGTTTCTCCTTGGGGTGTTCCAGTCCTTTTTGTTAAAAAGAAGGATGGATCTCTTTGTCTGTGCATTAATTATAGGGAGCTCAACCGTGTGACTATAAAGAATAAATACCCACTTCCTCAAATTGAAGATTTATTTGACCAACTTCAACGCGCTAGTGTTTTCTCAAAGATTGATTTGAGGTCAAGCTATCACCAGTCGAAGATAAAAGCTTGTGACATCCAAAAGACTGCATTTAGAAAATGACCATTATGAGTTCTTGGTCATGCCTTTCGGATTGACTAATGCTCCAGTTGTATTTATGGATTTGATGAACAGGGTATTCAATAATGTCTTGGATAAATTTGTCATTGTCTTCATTGATGACATCTTAGTTTATTCCAAGACAAAGTTCAAGCATGAAGTTGCACTTAAGGCAAGTATTAGAAGTATTAAGGGAGAAGAAACTCTATGCTAACTTTAAGAAATGCGAATTTTGGCTTAAGAGCATTGCCTTTCTAGAGCATGTGGTGTCCGAAAGGGGGATCTCAGTGGATCCAAGCAAAGTTGAAGCGGTTATGAATTGGTCACGACCCACTAATGTATGGAAAATTCAAAGTTTTTTTGGCTTAGCTAGCTATTATAGAAGGTTCGTGGAAGGTTTTTCCAAGATTTCATCTCCTTTGACTCTGCTAACAAGAAAGAATGCACGATTTCAGTGGTCAGAAGATTGTGAGAAAAGCTTTCAAGAATTGAAGAAGAGACTTGTTACTTCTCCAGTTTTAATTGTTCCTAATGCGGACTCAGGTTTTGTGGTTTATAGTGATGCATCAAGAAATGGTCTAGGTTGTGTACTTATGCAAAATGGTAAAGTCATTGCCTATGCTTCACAACAACTCAAGAACTATGAACAAAATTACCCCACTCATGACTTGGAGTTAGCAGTAGTTGTGTGTGCTTTAAAAATTTGGAGGCATTATTTGTATGGTGCTCATTGTGAGATTTTCGCCAACCACAAGAGCTTAAAATATTTCTTGGAATATGCGTCAACGACATTGGTTGGAGTTAGTTAAGAATTATGATTTCACTATTAACTACCATCCTGGTAAGGCTAATGTAGTGGCAGATGTCTTAAGTAGAAAGTCTTCAGGTTACTCAGCAGCCTTACTCACAACTCAAGAGCATTTAATTAAAGACTTTAGAAGTTAGCAATTGATGTGACTACAGAAAGTGTATCGTCGTTGTTGGCTAGCTTGGTGGTTGAACCATCTTTAATCAACAGGATCAAGCAAGCTCAACTTTCATATCCAGCTTTGAAGAAAATTGTCGATGATGTGAGCAAGTCTAAACAAGTTGACTTTTCAGTGTCATGTGATGGAGTCTGTGGTTTGATGATCGTCTTTGCGTACCAAATGACTAGATTATTAAGAAGGAGATCATGGCTGAAGCTCATAATACTCCATATTCGGTTCACCCTGGGAATTCAAAAATGTACCAAGACCTCCGAAGAACTTATTGGTGGACAAGAATGAAGTGAGACGTTGCCGACTTTGTTAGCCATTGTCTAACATGCCAGCAGGTAAAGATTGAACATCAAAGATCATCGGGACCCCTCCAACCATTGGTTATACCTGAGTGGAAATGGGAGAGTATCTCAATGGATTTTGTGACTGGATTACCTAAGACACAACATGGTTTTGAGATTGTGTGGATCATTGTTGATCGTTTAACTAAATCAGCTCACTTTTTACCAGGTAAGTCTACTTACACAGTAAAAAAATGGGCTCAAATTTATGTCAAGGAAATAGTTCGACTGCATGGCATACCGGTCTCTATAGTATCAGATAGAGATCCCAAGTTTACCTCCAAGTTTTGGAGAAGTTTGCATAAGGCTCTAGGCACGAGACTTGACTTCAACACTACTTTTCACCCGCAGTCCGCTGGCCAAACAGAGAGGACAATTCAAACATTGGAAGACATGCTTCGGGCTTGTATTTTGGACTTTCAAGGGAGTTGGGATAAGCATCTGCATTTAATTGAATTTTCTTATAATAATAGCTATCAAGCAACCATTAGAATGGCACCCTTCAAGGCTTTTTATGGACGAAAATGCAGGTCACTCGTCAATTAGAGTGAAGTTGGAGAGAATTTAATTTTGGGACCAGAATTAGTGCAGAAGACAAACAAGTCCATTAGCTTAATCAAACAGAGAATGGAGACAGTCCAAAGTCGTCAAAAAAGTTATGCTGATGTTAGAAGAAAAGAATTGAACTTTGAGGTTGGAGACATGGTATTTTTTAAAGTATCGCAATTAAAAGGAATTTTAAGATTTGAGAGGAAAGGAAAGCTTAGTCCAAGATTTATTGGACCTTTTGAAATTTTAGAAAAGGTGAGTGTTGTAGCATATCGATTGGTCTTACCACTTGCCTTAGATCGAATCCATAATACTTTCTATGTTTCAATGCTTCGAAAGTATATTGCAGACGCATCACATGTGCTAAGCTACGAACCACTCCAAGCAAAAGAAAACCTAACTTATGACGAGATTCCAGTTCAAATTTTGGACAGGAAGGATCGAGTTTTACGCAATAAAACTATTCCGCTTGTAAAAATTTTGTGGAAGAATCATTCATCTGAAAAAGCTACTTGAGAAACTGAAAAGAATATGATAGATAGATATCCTGAATTATTTACTTAGCAACGTATGTAAATTTCGAGGACGAAATTTCTTTTTAGGTAAATCATTCGTCTGTATAGACATTGTATATACTTGATATACCTCTAATTTACTATTGATATACCACTGATATAACTATGATATCCACTCATATAACTTCCTATATGATTATATTATTTACTATTTATTGATTTACCACTAATATATGGTAATATATAATTGATACGCCTTTGATATACCACTGATATACAATTGATTTACTTTTGATATAACTATGATATCTACTAATATAATTTTTAATATGGTTTATCATTGATATACGTATTATATAACTATAATTTCTACTGGTACTAGTTCTTATATGATTATATAATTTACCACGCTGATATACACTTATATATCTGTGATATATACTTGATATGCCTCTAATTTACCACTGATATAACTATGATATCTACTAATATAACTTCTTATATGATTATATGATTTATCACTAATATAAAATTGATACATCTGTGATATATACTTAATATGCCTCTAATTTACCTTTGATATACCTTTCATATAACCATGATATCGACTGATATAACTATGTTATCTTTGTATTGATATAAATCTAATATATCCACTATTTTTTCTCAAATGAAAACAACGGTGCAAACAAAGAAAATAAAATCTAAAATTATTGCATTAAAGATTAATATGGACCACGAACGTCCAAAAAAACAAATTAAAAGTCTAACATACTTTATAAATTTAAACAGCTGATATCTTTAATATTTAGTACCTAATTAAAATTAATATAGATTAAATAGTTGATATAACAATCAAAATTATTGATAATATTAGTATATCAATCAACAAATCGCAGTGATAAACTACAATTTAAATAACTAATATACCACTAAAAATTAAACAATTGATATAAAATGTACATTAGAGATACATCAGATGTATGTCAAATATACAGATATATATTTAGTATATCATAAATTAGAGTTACGTTAGATGTATATTAGATGTAGATGTCGTACATCTGATATATATTAATGGTACATCGGATGTAGATCGGAAGTATATCAGAGATACGTCGAACGTATGTCAGATATACATCTATCGGGCGTATATCCATAGATGTCATAAGGATAAATTGGAAAAATAAAAATTTCAAAAATAAAAATTTAAATATTTTGTCATATTTATAAAATACAAAAAAGATTTGACATTTTTGTAATTATGTATAAAAATTTAGCTATCCAATACAATTTCCCTTACTTAAATTATAATAAATTTTAAAAATATTATAATTTTAATTCGAACTCAGCTGAGCAATTTGACGACTAGATGATTTTGTCATACGTACAATATATATGTCCCCTCTCCAACAGAGGATTTTACTAAAAAAAAAAAGTTAAAATAAATCTAAATTATTTAATTAAGTTATAAATATTTAAATATTACTTAGTTAAGTTAAACTTTAAACTAAATCTAATTAATTAATTAAGTATTTAAATAATTAGCTACTTGGATTCCTCTCGTGGATTGTTTAATTAGTTAATTAAATCTAAATAATATTGAAATTTTTATAATTAATTAGTTAATTAGCTAACTAAAATTAATTTATATTTAATTAGTTTATTTAAATATTTAATTAACTAATTATTTAAATAATTTATTAATTAATTAAATTTTAGTTGTTTAATTAATTAACTAATTAGATTTAGTTTAAAATTTAATTTAACTAAATAATATTCAAACTCTTATAATTTAATTAAATTATATTTAAATTTCATTTGTTACCTGCGGCAAAATCATCCCTTCATATTGTCATTTGGACAAAATTCTTTGCGATCTTTTGTCACAATTTAATATCATCTCTTAAAAAGATGATCTTTTGCTACTTGAACAACGTCATCTCTCGAGTAAACTTACTCGTTTCACCAACTGGATTTACAATATTTTAAAATAATTTTATTTAAATAATTATTTCTTTTTTACCATATTAGAAAAAAGTCCCATTTACTATGGCTAAAAATTAATGTTTCATTCAATATAAATACAAATAGGCAAGAATGAAAAAGGATGAACAAAGGCTAGACTCAAAATTCCATCCTTTACAAAACTTTTGGAGCAAAAAATATATATGCACATCTTACAAAAGGAAAAAAAAAACAAAGCACATACTAAAACTAGTAAAAAAAACTATATATATAAATAATTTCAATATTAATAGTTATGAGACTAATAGTCATAGCTCAGTTAAAAAGGGGCCGAGACAATATCTCTGAATCGATAAAGAGGTTCTAAATCACTAAGTTCTTCTTCATAGTAGACTTGTTTTTTCCTCCCATTTATATTTCTATCTCGAGTTGCTTTGCATTCTACTGTTTCTAATCCCTGCATTTCCCAAATGAGACTTCCGTTATTTTACTTCATTTCAAATATACTAGCAACAAAGTGATATCACTGAATATATATTTTAGTCTCTAATATTTTGATATTTTTTTTATTTTGATCCTTATCATTTAAAAAGTTTCAATTTAGTTCCTTATCGAGATAGGTTAAAATTAATTGATGATAAACTTATATGATGTCATCCTTCGACAAAAATTTAGAGAAAGAAACATAATTATGAAGAGAAGAAAATACGGAAATTTCTACTAATTTCTCTTAAATTCAGAGAAAGAATTAAAATTGTTCCTATCCGAGTTTTATCTTCCTTTAAATTTCCATCCATTCAATTATGGATATTAAGTTTCTTATTAATGAATTTTACCATTTACCAAAAACTAAATTTTAAAATATTGAACATAAATGAGCAAATTAAAAAATTTTAAACATAAGAGATCAAATTAAAAAAAAAATTAAACAATATGGACTAAAATATATATTTGGAGAGTATTTATTTTTTGTGTGTTTACCTCTGTGAAAATCCTCATTGCTTCATCTATTGTGGTGGTGTTTAGGATATAGAGTGCTGCTTCCTGAAATCCAATCCAACAAATATTTAATTATGGGACACAAACATACAAATAAATATTATATTATAAAGTTTAAATTCAATACCATCCAATAAATATTATATTATAAAGTTTAAATTCAAGACCACCCTATTTTTCCCCTTTTTTTTTTAAGAATAATACCATGCTGTTGTATTTAGATAAGATATTAAATTAAAATATCACAAAAAACATAAACTTATAATATTAATTAGTTAAGGCAATTGTAATTAATATTTTCCACATATGATATCAGAAAGAAAAAAGATAGATAATAAGTTTCTATTTGATATATATATATATATATATATATATTTTCCACATATAATTTCCACATATATTCTCACCAAAAATCTCTAACTCCAAACTAATTAATATATGTGTTATAGTTTTAGAAGATTTAGAAAATAAAAAGAAAAAGAAATATTCAACCCATGTGGTTCCAAACTTCAAGATATATTTTTCTCTTCTTTGGGCTCGTTCGAGATTTTGTTTCTGGTTTTTTTTTAAATAAAATATTACTTCCACTTTTGAATGTTTTTGAACTTTCAAAATCAAAATGAGATTTAAAAAACAAAAACATATATGTTTAAGAAAAAAAAGTGATATTTTATAAATTTTTATAAAGGATTTAAATATTTTTTTAAATAAAAGATGTGAAAAGTACTTTTTAAAAAATTGGTGTGAAAACAAACCTATATTTTAAGAACAATGAGGCCTAAATGTTTTCTTCTTTAAAAAATAATATATATTATAAATAAAATAAGGAAGGACACCGAAGATTTGGACTTTCAATCTCTTAAAGAAAGAAAGAAAATGTCTTATTACTTTTTCCTTCTTTTTTTTTTTTAATCTATCTTAGAAGGACATTTGAAATTTTTAACTAAATTTTAAAAATAAAATCACATTTTTTTAACTACTTTTTTTAGTTTTGATTTAAAATTTTGAAAAGGCTAAAGCCTTAATTTAACTTAAAAGGAAAAAAAGAAGAAGAATCCAGAACATGGCTTTTCACTTTTCAAATTGCAAAATGTTCATAAACTTTTCAAACCACACCCATTCAATAAATTCTTTTCCATTTTTCTCTTTTGCTAAAAGAGGTGCTACATTTAAAAAGCATTAATTATTCTCTTCAAATTAAACATTATTACTCAAAGCACAAAAAAAAACTACAAAAAGAAAAATCATAGCAAAAAATAGATAGAGAAAGAGAGAGATACCCTTGCAAATTGAATTTGGTGCATTTTGAGAGTCCTTGGCTCATTTTCTATGGATGATTTTCTATCAATTCTTCCCATAATTTCTTCATGCATCTTTATCGTTTGTTATTGCCTTCCACCGAGAGAGAGAGAGAGAGATCCGACAAGTCGGCCAACGCAGCTCCGGAAACGACGATCGGAAAACGGCAAGAAATATGAAGCGAATGAAATCCCCTTTATATATGAATATATATAAGTTCAAGCTGAAGGAAGGACAACGAAGAGGGGCATTATTGGAATTTGGAATTTGGAACTTGGCATGTGGCAGCGCTCCATCGGTGACTCAAGCCCACCACGTGGCAGGCGAGGGGTGGACCATCGCACCACGTGGCTTCCCCACGTGTCTGTCACCGAAATCTCTTGTCTTAATAGGATTTCGCCAGTACCGCCCAACCGCTGGCCGCCACGGCGGCAGTCGGGGGATTGTGGAAAATTGCGTCCCAAGTGGACACGTGTATGGCCAGTTTTGATATGTTCTATTCTGTTCTTCTACAATGGAGAAGTGCGTGCATTGGACATCATGCACGTGAACAAAATCTTTTTTTTTTCCTTCTTTTGCTTTTTTTAATGGATAAATTAATCAATTCCGTAATGGTAATGTTGATGATAAACCATGAGTGTAATTAATTTATTAATTAATTGATTGATTTTTTTGCTAACCTATTGTTACGTTCCGTAAGCCTCTTTTGTTGATGATGCCGTTGCCCCAACTGGTTGATTAGGTAATTAGGTTCATATGGTTGGACTTCGAGACCTCATAATTTCCACTCCCTAGACATTTTTTTTTATGTATATTGCAAAAATAAATAAATAAACATCTCAAAGCTTGAGAGTAAGGAACAAATGGAACATGGAGGCATGTACACGGAAAAAAAAAAACCACAAACCTCGTAAGTGAGACATGACATAACAATTCATTAAAAGAAATAAATCTCAAACAANTTTGTGAGTACAGCATATAAGGCTGGGAGAATTCGAATTCACGGCCTTTCGATTGGACATAAGTGTCTTAACCCGCTGAACTATATGCTCAAGTGGGAGATCTCAAGTAAATCTTATCAATGTTATCCCACCAAGTAGTAGCACGAGTATAAATTACATCATTCTGAACAAAATAATTAGTGTAATGAGAAGTGTCCAACGTATCTTGGAATTACGTTGTCTCCAAATATGAGAAATAGAAGCAGTAGGTGAATAACTTCTACTAATGCGACAGATCCACGTTAACTCTGTATCTCATAGACTAGACAAATAGAGTTCACTTATACAATCATAACATTTCATACAAATTTGCTACAAAATTGGTACTTTTTTTCTCTTCAAGACTTGTTTAGTTACGGTTTTGCTTTTAGAGATTAAGTTTATAACCTATGATCTCTTTGTTTAATTGTTTACGTACTTCCTGGAAGCATTTCTAAAAATCTTAGCCAAATTTCTTTCTTTTGTCCATTTAGAATTCAAACTTTAACCATGATTTGAGAAACAATTTCGAAAGTAGATTAGGAAACAAGAAAGAAAAATTAATAAATACAACACATAATTTTGGAAACAAAGACTGATGGTCCTAAAAATTTAAATTACAGAAACCATAGCATTTTCTAGAATAATTTCGAAAGTAGGATATTAAAGAACTATGATGTAATATCAATTTCCTAAATCAACAATGCTTTTACTAATGTTTTTGAAAACTTGAAACAAAAAAGCAAAGAACGAAATTTGTTTTGTTCCGAAAATGAAAAAATGAGCCCACAATTGAATACAAAATTGATCAAACACATGGATTGGAATGGGTTGACGAGAAGTAAGATGTAATATAGTTAAAATTTTGGTGAGTTATTTAAATGATATTGAGTAATATAGAGTCAACACTACTGGTATTAGATTAGATTACGAACTAGAATACATTATAATGAAGCTTAAAGAGGTGTCTAATTGATATTGTGGAAGAGTTGCATTGCACATTATTGACAAAGTTTCTAATATAGCTTTTCACTTGTTCTTCTTGCCACCGGCGAGAATACGTTGGATTTGGAGGCCTCGGCTGAAGGCTTGGTTGAACAGCAGCCTCGTCTGGAACTCCGACACGAATGGGAACCAGGCCAGGACAGCCACCGGGGTGAAAATCACAACGCTCATCACGTACTCGTACCCTCGGGCTAGAGCTTTCACCGATCCCCACATCCCCAACGCCTTCCCTATCGGTCGGCATGCTTGTGATATCTACACCCAACACAACCAACCACTCTCATTTCCTTATCAATCAAGATTTACTTATGCAATCATCAAAAAGCCTATAATTTTTAATTGGGTCTTAGAGTGAAGTGACGTACTTGCAAAATAGCCCAGCCGGTGGGCATGAAGGCTAGTATGCTCGCAAAAATGTCGCCAACCGTGAGATGGAGAAGCGTAAATAGCATCGCTACTACGACCACTGATCCAATAAACAGGAACAACTTCAGAAGTCTGAACATTAGCTGGAAGTCTGCACTGAATTTCTTTCTACCCATCGACACGATCTGCAGTTCAAACGTACATCAATCAGCCAACAATGGTTTCATAATGAATGCAGCAAAAGTCGTTGGAGTTAAAATCATGCATTAACCTTAAGTATAACCATCACGGCAACAATGACAAGCCAGGATAATCCATACACCTGAAAATGATAAGAGAAAACAAAGAGGCCTCAAGTATGGTCAATCAAAATCACCTGCTAAATTGTCCTATTGAATGGGAATCGGATGCTTACCGTGATGCTTTTGCTATTCCCGGCGACGTGTAGATGATACACTATTCCATACTGATAGAGAAAGAAGCGGATAGAGAGGATGATTTCCCAGATTCGTCCGAGGAATCCGGTGTGTTGAAGGTGTTCTTGTTCCTCCTCCCACCACGACTCCCAACTTTTGTTGGCGGGCACACCAATACCACCTCTACTGCTGATCCATTTTGACCAATCATCCCAATCATCCACAATCTTTTGCCATTCAAAACCTGAAGGGTTAAAAAGGAAAGGGGCAAATAACCAGGAACCAACCAGGAACCACATTGAGCCTGTGATAAAAATATAAGCTATGGGGTCAGGACCAGCCGTTCCATAAATATTGTAAGCTATAAGCAGTATCATAAGCTCTAGTCCTTTGACAAAGTGACTCCTGGAATACATCCTGTAGTTCTCAGCGAATTTCTCGTGCCGGACGACAAAGCCACGACCGGTAGCCCTGTACTTCGCCCCACCGTGAAGGATTGTGCGCCCATAATAGTGGACCTTTGTGCCAAGAGAGAACGTGAAGAAAACGGATGCTAGTTGTAACTGCATGATAATTAAATCACTTATTGCAGTTCTGAACCCTCTCTCGAGCCCAATTTCCATGATCATTGGCATGGCTGTTAAAAGACCTAACTGAACAATTGATTGTGAAGCCATGGCCGCCTTTAATGGATCATTTCCTTTTGCCCTAGCAAATTTTATTATGGACTTCTCCAAGCCACTCAATGACAGATACAGTCTACCGTATAAGAAAGCATATACTGTAAGTACAATCAACTGCATGACGAGAAGAACGCATAATCATTGCACAGGAGAAAATTTTCCGTGGTTAGTTCAGAAGAAAGAAAAAATCATTTAAACATGAAGACTTACCATTGCACTGACGTAAAATCCTACTGTTGTGAAATAGAAAGACAGCATGCGGAAAAAGTCGAAACGGTGACCCAGACGATAGATGTCTCTGCTGAGAATTTGCTCTCCATTACCACAAGCTACCTTTGCCTCAAAAAGAGAGATTTGATTAAGACCAACATCTCGCCCCTTCCCAACTTGAATATACTCGTGGTGGGTTACATTTCCTCGTCTCAACGTTGAGTTGAAGCCTGTGGAGGAAAAGTTTTTAAAAATAATTCAAGAAGAAAAATTCACTTGACTAGTGGAAGAAAAGTGTAAAGAATGATACCAGCAAAGATATCCTCACTGAGGTTGATGCCTCGAGAAGCTTTGCTCATGCCCCCCCGAGTAATATGGAAGATTCTATCAAAAACATCAGGATGACCATAGTGGAACCTCACCCTAGAACCAGCCAACACATGTTATAGATATATAAACAAAATATGCTCACATTAAGTTGGTGAACTGACTGCTGAGCAATTAACAAATTCATCATGTCCAATCTAGTATTACTCTCTCCCAAATATTCAGCATTGTTCAATAAAGAAATAAATAATAAATAATAAAAAGGTGAAATCCTTCCATGTTGAGTCATTACATGAGAATTAAAATTTAAAACCTCTGTTTAAGCAACATATTCTAACTCTTTACAAGTTTTGAATCCTCCAGCTCTTTTTTTTTAACTACTTTCTAAATGTGATTAGTAAATTAGTTGATGCTGAAATATGTACAGTGTAACGCCCCAAGCCCAGGATTCGGAATCCGGTTTCAGCACCTCTCTGCCCCGGCATTCCCCTGCGACCTGAGACTGCCCCTACAGACCAACACGAGTCCTTCCAGCATGCTTTGTCCTCACTCACATGCTTGCTAGTAAAGCAACTAGAAGGTCACCCAACCTAAGATTGCTCCAAGCCAAGCACGCTTAACTTTGGAGTTCTTACGATTGAGCCACCGAAAAGGAACTGGGAGAGGTTCCTCTCTGATACCATCTGTAACGC